ACTACAGTGAAGAAAGAGAAATGAACATCAAAAGAACTACTCATCTCATCCTTCATCTGTAGTAACAGTAAAGATGAGATTGCTTTTATTCTGTATGTACTAAATAGGAAACATTGCTAACCTCTTCAAATGTAAAATGTGAAAAAAAACCCCATCAAATTCTGAGGTCTGTAATGAAAGCATTAATTATCCACATATTATTAGTGGGGAGGAGAAGACTCAGAAGTTTAGTGACTTTTCTAAGTCAGAGAGATCATTAGTGCTAAAACTAGGATTTTGGTTTTAAAACTCACCATGCTTTTTTCAACATTTTGCTTCTTTTGCTACATCAGTTAGAAACATCAATCATTAGACTATATTTTCTTTTTGCAACTTTTGATACTATCTTGATTTGAGATCATCCAATTTCCTGTGAATGCTCTGGAAATAAAGTCAGCTGTAAGTATTAAAAACGTTTCTAATGGTTATATCCTCTGGATCTTATAGATCTTAACATGTTTCATATTGGACAAAAATTTCTCCTTAAATTTCAGATTTAGTTCTCCTTTCACATCTAATCAAGTAAAAAAAAATCACTGAACTTCTGAGGCTGTGAATCACATGGGAAGAGACCATGCGTCTTTTTCACATGGAGCTGCTGGGAGATTCGAACCACCAGAGAGAAATGTTCTTTGGGCTTGAACTGCAATTCTCTGAAGACTAAGCCACCGGAGCTCCCTTGACTAAGAGCATTAGACTGTTTGGTTTGGTAAATGGAATATTCATTTATATAGTTAAGTTCCCAGAAAATAGGTTTTCTTTGTTCAAAGATTGAAAATTACTGAGAATTCTTAAGTGTTAATAATAAATTCTCTATTTACTGTAAGAACAACTCCTTCAAAAGCCTAATCCTAACACAAGCATGCAATTATCTTTTTTCTTTCTTTTTACAAAGGCACTCATGTGTGATTGTATAAGTAATCAATATATCATGTTATTAGAATTTTAAAACCAAAAAAAAAATCTATAAACTTAGGACATCTCTGAAGTATCAAAAATCAGAATTCATGAATATTGCTCCTTGGACTGAAAAAGACTTTATAATGATCTAAAAGTATCCAATTTCCTGTATATGAAGGAGTTTGGATCAGTCATGTATGATAGATAAATGTAGCAGTAGTTAAAATTATATTGTTTTCAATTATGCCCTTCTTTTATGTTTCTAAGTTTATAGAATTTTATGTACTGTAAGATCATCTATATTAACCTTTGACAGGTTTATTCTGGAAAATTAGATTTGTACCTGTGGGACCTACTTGAAATAAAATCCATGGGTGTCATTTTAAAAAATCATATATTCCTTTCTCTCCCCTTTGATGATAAAGTCCTGGAGATACCTTCTAGCATTTGGTTACTAAAAATATCTTTAAAAATAATAATAAGGATGATGAGTCACAGATGTACAGAAGAGAAAAAAAGCCAATTATACCAACTACATCTTTTCAATTTTTTATAATGGTGTAACATTTACTTTAATCTTCACTCACAATAGGAATATATGCTCAAGTCAAACTCTCTCAACCATAATGTAAAATGTATCTTGCTGTGCCACTGTCTAAACTACTGATTTTATCTGCATGCACTTTCCTTTCCTTTTTAGTTATGAGCTGGATCAGGGATCAACAATTTTTTGTCACGGAACAGACAATTTGTAGTTTAGGGTACATGAGATATGGACTTTTTGTTGCAACTACCCACAAAAGCAGCCATAAACAATATAGAAATGAGCAGGCATCACTGGATGGGACCCACAAACAGTAGTTTGCTGACTCCTATGCTAAATCACAAGGGAAATGTTAAAAAAAAAAAACATTAGTTGGGGAATCTTAACATTTAGCCTTTCAAAGAGAAATTTTAAAAAGATCAAATAAATACTGAGTTTTCTACTTCAGGATGCCAAATTTAAGAGTCCAGCAAAACGATCTTCTTTTTCCTATGAGTCACATACTTTTGCTAAGCAGATGACGAGACAAATAATGCCACTATTAATCACACTCTAAAAGTTGCTAAGATTTCTAAATAATCTACTTCTCTCTTATGTAACTCGCCTCAAATTTCACCTATTTAACCCAAGGAAAGTCAAAGTCTCACCACTTCTTCCCTATATAAAACGTTAATTCTATCTCCTCTAATCCTGCAGGACAGACAGTTAGCTTCTGACTCCATTCTCATTTCACTTCTCTCTTGTTTGCCTCCAATATAAAAATTTGAACACACTAAACATTAATTTTCTCAGGTCAAGGCGGCCATATAATACACTTCAGGGCAGTAAATACTACAGGATGTAGTTTCAAGAGAAAAACTACAGGAGGTAGTTTCAAGAAAATTTTTACTTTATTTAAAGAAAAGGAGAGTATCAGGTTAACATTATCCAAAGAATTTGGTCTTTGTTCTTGGTTATTGAGAGAAAACCTCTAAAACCTTGGACTTTCCCCAACGACTGAAGTGTCTTTGATGAGGACTCCAGTCCACATCTAAGCATTTATGACTCACATTGGATAAGAGATGACAAAGCCAGAAAAACCTACCATTATCCACTGTATCAACCCTACATGCTAACTACTGACCCCAGAGAAACGGTATCAGAGATTAATTATATTATGAGATACTTCAATAAAAGCTCTGGACAATTAATTAACATCCCATGGGCTTCCTGACAGATGAAATGTATAAACACACTGGAAGGGTAGCATGTGTCTTTTTTGGGGTGTGGAAACTCCAAATTAAGAATTCCATCCATGTGTCTCTTCATTTGATTATAAAAAGGCTATTAACTATAGCATTTTCTAGAATTCTGTAAATTGCTGTAGCAAATTATCAAACTGGGAGAGTAGTGAGAGCTAGAAGAGAGAGCTCTAAGAACCAATGAGCCTAACACTGGTATCCTGACTCTCAGCTTGAGATAGGAGGCCTTGGGCAAGGTTGGCAATCTACAAGACTATGTATGCCCTTTAACTTGTGAGGTCAGAGAAAGATATGCTGCCTTTACATAGAAGGTGCCAGAATAGAAGTGAAACAAGAGTGGAACAGAATTGATAATAAATCGACATCAGATTTGATAGCTTGATGCAGAAGAATTGGATTTTTTTTTTCTTTTCCACAAAGTTAGGGACTCACAACTTCACAATCCTTTCTCCTTCCTTTCTGCCTAATGCAGTCGTGATGTCTGAAGATGGAGTGACAATTTTACAGCCACTAGAAAACCTTAAGAGTACTACAGAGATGTTAAGCCTAAAAAACTCGAGATGAAAGAACCAGTTTCAGGTGCCATTTATTTTCAGAGTTCTTTTATGTGAGGAAAATAGTACGTAGGTAGGAGGGCTCATAGGGAGCTGGACTGCTAACAAGATGGGACCTCTCTGCACATTCGAATCCACCAATGGTCTGAGGGAGAAAGATACGTAATCTTCTCTCATTCAATTTACAGCCTCTAAAGAACCACTGGCAAATGAGGGGTTTTTTAGAAATTGAGATTTTTTTTTTGTTACAAGTGAAAGGATTCTTATCCTATCTTTTGAAAGAGTGGCCCAAATTATTAACTCTGTGTGGCAAGAAAAACCAAAACCCGCTGGATACAGTTTGTTGGTGAGTTCTGACCATACAGAATTAATTCAGTTTAGAGAGAAAAAGAGTAGAAAGAATGACATGCTGAAAAAGAGCCTAGGTAGACCATCTAGGGCAATCAAGGCAGAAAGTGCAGAGAAGGGGAAAAAGTTAAATAGTGCACAGTTGTCATTAAAGCCTATCCATTCAATTTTCTGACTCATTCACTCTCCCATTGCCATCAGGTCGGAACCAGCTCTCAGCTGAACTTCCGGAGGCTTTTCCAAGATAATAAATCATGAGAGGAGACTGCCCATCATCCTCCCACATTCTCTGTTCTTGGCAGCACTGGCTCCCTCAGACAGTCCCCCAAACCCACTCGTGTAGTGATTCTGACTCACAGCAACGCTACAGGTCAGAGTAGACCATACAGAGGGTTTCCAAAGTGGCAAATCTTTTAAACAGACTTCAACACTACCCCACGAAGCATCTAGTAGGTTTGAATCACTGACCTTTTGGATATCAGCTAAATACGTTAACCAAACCTGAACTAGAGACCTCCCTCATGAACTGTCAAGAGCTGAAACTTCTGAACTCATTTTTTATGGTTAGGTTTTTTTCAAGCTGGTTAATTTTACCATATGCTTCCATCTACTTGATATTCACAAAGGTAAAGTTATTGTCAGAACACGATTTTTTTTTTACATTTGTAGGATCTTTGAAATAATCATTAACAACAAACTTAGTGATGATATTAAATGGAATGATTTCTCTAAACATTTATAGCCAGTTGGGAGAATCTTCCCCCTAATGTCACAGGCAGTGAATACCGTATCAGTGTCACTACACAAAACATTCAGAGACAATGAAATCTGTCCATTCAAAAGAAATTTCAAAAATATACTTCTTTTAGCGCACCTACTCAACATTACAACTCTTACGTTAAAAGACCTAATGTCATGTTGTGCTTTAATCGACAATGTAACACACACACAGACAACTCTCTAGTTCTTATTAGTGACTCCAGAGTAGAACTCCTTCAAACTGTTAAAGTCTGAGCTGGAAAGAATGCCAAACATGAAAAGGTTTCAGGATCAATTACAGTAGTGGAACAGAATTTAATAAAGTTCCAACACTACATTTTAATGCTCAAATTTCGTATTGTCTTTTTGAGTTGACAAATATGTGCTTCCCAGCATAATAGCAGCCGCAGAACAGCTGGCCGTCCACACCAAGCACAAAGGAAGCAGCCGCACACGCTGTTAAGTGTCGTCCTGATTGCCTAGAAATGGCAGCACACGCAGATTGATTCCCTTATAAATTAGAACAATTATTTCTCTGGAGTTTACATTTTCTCTACGGAAGAGTCAAACTTTCTGCACGTTAAAGAAAAAAAAAAGGACTTTCAAAAAGGATATCTTCCCTTTCTTTGATGATAAGTTCATTCTGTTCTTCCAACTGTCTGATCTTCTTCTCGAATGATTCTTGTTCAGATTTGAGTCGCTCTTCTGTCACTTCTTTTTCCTCACTTACTCTGGAAGAAGAAGAAAAAGATTTCTTGTAATAAAACAAAATGTGTATACAGCTGCAGTTTGCCAAAACTAGATTCTTAAAAAGGTTTCTGAAAGTTAAAATTCTTTTCCCATTCCTTTTGTTCTTATCTTTGAAAAGACATCTTTCCTTAACTTTATAGTAAAATAAGAACTTTTTTTTTGCATGGAGAATGTTTCCAGTTATCAGAATAGCCAATTATAATCCACAATAGAGAAACTATTTTCACTTTTAAAAGCCGAATTTCATTTCTTCATTATCAAGACAGATATAACTGCACTGGTGATACTGTGGTGAGCACAGAAGCCTTTGAAAATAGGCACAATATATTTGGATTGAGAAATTTTCTATACTTTTTGTCAACAAAATAAACAATATGTCTCTCAGTTAGTTCCCTTTTCCCAGCATTTACACTCTTCCTTCCCAGTAGTTTATAAATATCTGGCCATGAAAAAAGCAAAAGATATGATACTAAAATAAGTTTGCATTATACTTATTTTTAATAAATGTATTTACTATGGTATTTTAAAAAACAGAAATATCTATCACTAATGTTTAACTCTGAGATAAACTGTATTCATTTCAATAAAAAAGGGGTGGAAAGAGCACAGAGAAGAAGAAAAAAAATCTTCAAAAGGTAAATTATAGCAGTAAATCTTAAGGCACCAAAGTCTATTTCAAAGCAATCTTGATTCTCATGCACCTCTGTGAACAGAGATCTTCACCTTCCATTTCTTGGTGACTTGTGCTTATTTCTCTAAAGAAGGAACAATACAGTATTTAGTCTACGGCACCATGCAGGCACATGTGAAAGAGATATGTGGAGAATTCAAACCTTTCCTTATCCTCTCCCTATTCTACCAGAGCAACATCTGAGGAACACAAATCCCATAGCCTTTACTCCATTGTTCGAGTTCTTGTAAGAGTAATGAGAAAATGAAAAATGGAATTTTGAATGTTCAAGAATTGAACACATTGTTTTAGAAAGGATTTTGTATTAAAATACTTGATGCATGGAAGTCCTCAATAACTGGGTTTATTTCTTCTTGTCCCTGGTTTTTATGTACAGCATATGTCTTACTTATCTAGACCAAAGTGATACCACAAATAATGGCTTTCACCAGCAGAATCTTTTTCTCTTCTCTTTTTCTCTCACTGCTGTTGAGTCAGAATCAATTCTAACTGACTCCATTGGGTTCTGTTTTGTTGTTAAGTGTCATCAAGTCAACCATGACTGACAGCAACCCAATGAACAATTGGCCTTTTCTGTGCCATCTCCTCATCTCTGATATACGTGAGCCCCTTTAATACAGTCTCTGTGCCAGTCCATCTTCTTAAGGGTCTTCCTCTCTTTCAACAAACTTCCACCTTTCCAAGCATGATGCTTTTTCCCAAGGACTATCCTCCCTAACATGCCCCAAGTACATGAGACAAAGGTTTACCATTCTTGCCTCTAAGGAGCACCCTAGTTGCACTTTCTCCAAGACAAATTTGTTCTTTTGGCATCCATGGGGTATTCAGTACTCTTCTCCAATACTACCATAAACCAAAGGCATTGATTCTTCTTCCATCATCCTCAATCATTGTTCAACTTTCAGATGCCTAGCAAGTAACTGAAAACCTCATGGCCTGGATCAGGTCCACATGAGTCTTTAAACTGACTTCGTTGACTTTAGTACTTTGGCGAGGTCCTAGACAGCATTTTCCCCAATACAATGGGTCTTTTGATTTCTTGAATGCTGGTACCAAGGGTATTGACTGTGGATCCAAGGAAGATGAAATTGCTAACAACTTCAACCTTTTCTCCTTCTATCATGATGTTACCCAACTGGTCATGGCGAGGAATTTTGCTTTCTTGATGTTGGGTGTAATCCACATTGAAGGCTATAATCCTTGATCTTCTGCAGCAACTGTTTCAAGTCCAATTCACTTGCAGCAAGCAGGGTTATGTAATCTATAGAACACAAATTGTTGACGAGTCCTCCTCCAATCCTAATGCCACATTTTTCTTCATATAATCCAGCTTTTAAGCATTTGATTTTAGAAAGTGTAAATCACATGGAGGAGACTGCCAATCTTTCCCTCTTATAATAGCAGGTGGAGGTGAACCACTAGAAGCTTGACCTTTGGGTAGCAGTGCAACTTCCTATGGACATGGCCACTAGACTTCCCTAGAAGTTCCAATTTAGAGTGACAGCTCTAAGGAAAGGCTTTCTTTCTGTGTCTTCTGGTTCCAAGAGTTTACCAGAGTAGGAACTTGGCTCCATAGGTCGTGCTCTGCTCCTGACCTTTGATTTTTGGTGGTACTGATGTTTCCCCCCTCTCTGTTGTCTTTTCCCGCTTTAGATCTCTTGTAAAATAAAAACTGTCACAGTCTTCCCCATACAGGGGATCAGGGCTATAAAGGAATTAAGGGTGCTGTAACCCACCAGTGATCCTTTTATCACGGTTTGGCTGATCAGATTATGGGAGATCATTATATATATCACATCATTGGAGAAGTATGGCAACCCAGTCAATGACAGTACATTACTAAGCCCACGAATGAGACCCCTACCATCCTGGGCAGAAGGGGTAATCTTTAGACTGATATAAGGAAGCCAGAACAATGAAACAAAAACAGACTATATGACAAAGACTTGTGGTCAACCAACAAAAAAATTGCAGAGACATATTCCACAATGCCAGAGTCCCCTAAAACTTAAGAGGGCACTACCTTAAATAAAATCAATCTTTTACAACTTTAGTTTCTGGAGTATATTTCAAAAATTATTTGTCATTAAACAACCTTCCCTGCCTCCTCCAATCTTTCCTTGTTATGCTGTTATGATGAGAATACCTATTTGCAATTATTATGCTCTTGAGGAGACTATAAAATTAACAAGCTGTGTTAAGCACAAAAGGCAACACTTTTTTTTTACAGTCCAATCAAGAGACATGCATGGCTTCTTTGTAGCCTATTAGCATAGTTAACATGAACAAGTATATTAATACAGCCTTTTAATGCCGAGGATCTACTAAAGTAGTCGTGAGGTCTGACATCTGCAAGTGTCCCTGGGAGATCAATCACTAAGTGTGTCTCCAAGAATTTGTAGGTAATATGGAATAGGTGGTCTGACATCTGCAAGTGTCCCTGGGAGATCAATCACTAAGTGTGTCTCCAAGAATTTGTAGGTAATATGGAATAGGTGCACTTGATTCTTACTTGGAATCCATCAGCAACTCTGAGGGCAAAAGGCAGATAATCTCCTCCCACTGTGTTTTACAACCTGAGAGACGTAGAGGAGGGCTGGTAAGTCGGAACTGACCAGACCACAGTGACTTTTACATCTGCAAAGAGTGTTCACTCTTCTGGCAATTACAATAAAGAAAACTAACAGACATTCCCTTAAAACAGATGATCAAGGTTATTATAAGTAAAGATAGATAGATAGATAGATGATAGATAGATAGATAGATAGATAGATAGATAGATAGATAGATATCTCTATCAATCACTCTGGACTTCTTGTCATTACAGAAGTTCAGAGTGAAGGCTGCATAGTGGAGTGGACTTGGGGGGGAGGTACTGCATAACAATGGAAGAGTTTTTTCTTTCTTTTCGGGGGGAGTAGGGAGCAAAGTGCAACAATGAATGACTGGAAACCCTAAGTCTGTGTAAACGTATTAAAATTAATTTTAAAAAATGTAAAAAAAAAGGCATCAGTAAATGTGTGTGTGTGTGTGTGTGTGTGTGTACACACTGACAGAGAACCACTAGAAACACAGGCTGAGTTTAGATGAGGTTGTGGCACTAGCGACATTATTGCCAATGACAATTGGATCTTGGCAGAATGCAGAGAGTACTAGAAGAATGTATATCTGTATTTCACTGATATGCAAAAGCATTTGACTGTGTGGATCACAATAAATTGTGACTAACCTTGAGGAAAATGGGAATCTCAGAACACTTGATCATGCTTATACAAAACCTATACTTGGACCAAGAAGCAGTCCTCAGAACAGAGCAAGGGAAAACTGCATGGTTCAAAATCATGAAAGGAGTACGTCAGGGATGTATCCTCTTCCCCTACTTTTTCAATCTGTATGCAGAACAGATCATTTGGGAAGCAGGGCTTTATGATAAGCAGTGTGGCATCAAGACTGGAGGGAGACTCATCAATAACCTATGTTATGCAGATGACACAACCTTGCTTGCTGAAACTGAAAAAGACCTGAAACACTTGCTAGAAAAGGTCAAGGACTGTCGTCTTCAATATAGATTGAAACTCAACATCAAGAAGACAAAGATTCTCACCACTGGGTCAATTGGCAGCACCGTAATAGATAGAGACGAGACTGAGGTTGTTAGTAATTACAGCTTGCTTGGATCCACAATCAACAATCTTAACACCAGCAGTCAGGAAGTCAAAAGACTAATTGCTTTGGGAAAATCTGCTGTCACGGACTTCTGGAGAGTGCTGAAGAGCAACAACGTCAGTCTAGATACAAAGGTGCACTTAATCCAGGCCATGGTTTCCTCAATTACTTGTTATGCTTCAGAAAATTGGAAAATGACTAAGGGTGACAGAAGAAGAATAGATGCCTTCGAGTTCTGGTGCTGGAGAAGAGTCTTGAATATACCATGGACCACAAAGAAAACAAATAGGTCTGTCTCGGAGAGGGTGAAACCACGTCTCTCCTTGGAGGCTAGGATTTTGAAGCTTTGCCTCACTTACTTTGGGCACATGGCCAGGAGAGATCGGTCCTTGGAGAAGGACATCATGCTCGGAAGGGTGGACAGACAGCACAGGAGAGGGAGACTCTTGATGAGATAAATTGTTACAGTATCTGGGGTGATGGGGGTTGGTGTGTCAGAATTAGTGAGACTGGTTCAGGACAGGGAAGGGCTCAGAGCTGTTGTACATAGGGTTGTTATGAATCATAGACGACACAACCAATTACGTTCTGTGATGGGTTTGGAAGCAGGAGTGGCATCCACTT